CATTAACTAATATATTCAATAATTTGCTTTACCAGCTTGGCATATAGAAGTAAGCTATTTCACATTCGAGAATAATAATCAGATACGCACTGGAAACTTACAATGTGGTCAATACCCTTTCACATGATTTTGGGACTAAATCTCTCAATGACTGGACTGAAGCTACTTAAACGAATTTTGACCAATCATACTTTTAGTCTCAGAAACCAGAATTATTTAGCTGAGCTAATCAGTAATAGTGTTCACAGCTCACTGTCGAAATTTAATCCTTCAAAGCCATGTGTGTCCAGAATTATCTGCGTTTGAATGTTAAAGATATATATATATATATATATAGAAAAGACATATATAGAAATAGTGAGTAAAATTCCTAGTTTGAAGTATTTTTCGTGGCAAATGCAAATTAAGATATACTAGTAATGAATTGTATTGAATGTCATTTGGCTCAGAATTTTTTCAGGTCCATAAATATATTAGAGATGATTTTACATTTGAAACTATTTACCAACTTTTCACTATGGATTCATTGAACTTAAAAAATTGTGATGGTGAAAACACTGAGATCTACTAATATTATAAAATTCCATGAACAAACAGAAGGACATTACGATAATGCTTTACTGCATTACGTCCAAACCTTTTGTCATACTTCCTCCAGGACCTGGTAATACAAATTACGTTTTGATAGTATATATTGTCCAATCAAAATAGGTCCTGAAATCGAATAAAATCTAAGCCAATCAAATCAAATCACTTATTATGGATGCTTTCTTCTGGAAGGTAAAACAAAAGCAGTGTGCCATTAAATGTTTTGATTAATATGGATGATACAGAATGGAGTAAGATTTTCGGTAATGAATTGATAATGACAGAAAATCAAAATGGTATTAAGGAATCTATATAAACAGGTGTTGGCAAATTTGCATCTTTCCACAGAACATAGCAACTATTTGAATCATTCCACAAACATGATGACTGAGAATACAAACCCTTCTCTGAGAGATATTTCAAAACATGATATTTTTATTAGATAGATGTATTAGTATGATCTAATTGATTTCTTGTCACTTACAAGATATATTTTTCTGAGTGGAATCATTTACTTGAATTATAAAATAGGTCAGAATCAATTTTTAATGATAATATTAGTCATGATCAAGTACAATTCATGCTTTTAACATTTATTCTTGATTGCAAATTACTAAATGAAATAATACAAGCCCCACATTCCAGTCAAAAGTGAAAAATAACAGAAATATTTTCTAGATGACCTAAATAATATAAGCTTAAAATGTAGTGGTGAGTACAGTATAGAGCGACAGCATGTGAGCTATAAATAGACCACACATACAAAGCCCCAGTATAACAAACCAAGTGAAGGTAGAAAGCCTCATTTGTGCTTGGGAGTCTATTGATTATTACAGTACCATGTGATCACCAGTGGATGAGTCCACAACAAAAACAAGGTGATCATCCTTTCGAAAATATTGACAACATCTATCACATTTACTCAATTTATGAATTATTTAATTTGATCAGACATTCCTCTCCACTATATTTTAACTACCTATACTGCAAAGCAATAAAATAAATCAACAGCTTTCAAATCAGGCTGTGTACAAAACTTCAACTTCCCTTTTTCAAACTTGTTGACATAGAAAATCAATACTGAACCATCTTTATTTTCCAGAGAAAGTTTCTTCAAAATAAAAAATGGCATAAAAAACCATGTCCTATCCCCAATAATAAAAAAAACACTATGACATCATAAAGCTATAAGGTAGTTTGTTGAAAATTAAATTGCTTGTATTCTTGACTAGAGTTCAACATAAAGTGTGTCTTTAATGTGTCCTTGACTTGTTATATGTGTAGGATAAATAATTCCTTACATTATATATAACGCAAAATATTTCCTCCTTCTATTTCTTATACTTAATCCCCTATAAATTTCTCCAAAAATAACAACTCCTTAGGTTGACAAAAAAGAAAGCAAAAAAGTTCAATAATCTTATGACAGTAGCGTTTAGGTTTCACAAGGATCAGACAGCTTTCAATATTTCAACATCGAAACTTTTCACTTTCCAGGAAAAGCTTTAATGCCATATAACTCTATATATTTTTTTACTAACTGATAAGAGTTATGTGCGACACTTTTCATAATCAAAATCCTACATTCAATTCAATACATGCAATTAATCAGAAACATAGCGCTGACATTTTACCATTTCAGATATCAAATAGCACCTTAATATCAGTAATATCTTTACATGAGAATTAAAAACAGTGCGGAAGGGACAATATTCTTAACTTCTGTTGATCTCAATTGAATCATTTGTTAAATTTGAAACAAGTTGTAATTTATCAGTCACAAACACCATTTGGCTTTAAGGATGTCATAATCTAGCTCTAAGAACCAAAGACAACAAGGAAACTAAGAATAATACAAATAGAAGCTGTCAATGATACAAATATCAAAGCCAACATACATCATTTTTTTTAAATATCATGTATCAAACTTTAATCAAATGTAAAAACTGTTATGGATAAGACAATTACTGGTAGAGAAATATATGTTGTGTATCCATAAACAATTGACAGCATCTAGCACATTCTAATACATTAAAAAAATAAATGCATAAGAAAACTGAATTCTCTGTTGAAATTTATGATGTTGAAATAATATTTGTAATGTTGAAAGTAAATTATTGCGTCATTTCTCTGTGTGATAGACAATAGAAAGACTTGACCGGTTATGAAATTAATGACCTTCCTCTTAGCTTTAACCTTGTTAGAGCCTGGAAGACAATACAGTACAAGACAGTACTAATGACCGTCTAGAAAGGAATGATTTTTAAGTTAAAGGAAAAAAGTTAGTGTAGAAACAGTTTTGTAATAGACCACTAGGAATCATCTTAACTTTTAGGGAATTGAACATCTAATAGTATATTCTTTCAATGTTCAGCTGGTGAAAACTTTATATTTGTGAGGTCAATATGATTAAAATGCAAATCTGGATGTTTTGTTTTTATAAAGATGAATCTACTATCTAGATTATAACATTTTGAGAATGGATTATGCCATGATTTATCATTCCAAACAATTTCATTTCACACGAGACTAAACACCTAACCATAGAACAAAAAACAGAAACCAACTGAATTCTGATTTGATGAGAAAATAGGTTTGGTTGTGTGATTTTTTCCACTCTAGACAATGCTTGTTTTGAGGACTGGCAAATTGTTCTGCATCTGTTTGGGCTAATGAGAACCTGCAGCACTGTTCTGCAGCAGTTTACAATGAGGGAATTATTGCCACTTAGCAATATTGCAACTGTTGATGCAGAAGTTTATCAACCACAGTCTGTAGCACACAAGATCTCAGTTTATTGACCCATTCAAACATGTCAGCCTATCAGACCTACATCAGTGACAGACAGGGCCAGACTTGAAAAATTCACAGGTATATCTTGATCTATGCTGTCATTGAACATTGACCAACATGGTTGTAGATTAATGGGATAAACTTCTGTTCATTACATCTTTACAACTTCCTTGTGAAAATAATTTGATTGAACTAAATTTGGACAACAGAATTAACCATTTTCTTTATTTCAAACAGTCAAAAGATATATATAACATGCAATCTGTAGTATGCGAGACCTCAGTCTGTTGTCATAACTGAATGATTGGATGCTTTATTATGTTCTGCTGCGGGCACATGCACAGTCTTGGTCAGCCAAGAGTTTCACAAACTAACTGTGGGCACACTAGCAGACAAAATATCCCCAGTTGTTCGTTTTCCATTATATCAATAATCATGTGCGGATCATGCAATGGATGGAAAATGAATCTGATGAGTCTTGCAGACAATATCAAACTGGTTGGATATTATAAATCCTGCTCAACACATGCTAGATTTTACTCCAGATTCGTATGACATTAGAATCTACAACTGGGGACGTAAATTGACACCTAAAACCAAGCTGATTTTAGTGTTCTAGTCATCTGATTGGTCAATAAAAAAGATTCCTAGATTTACATTTTTTAAATCAATGTCCCTGCATCACTGAATGAAGAAAGGTTTCTCATAAGTTTTCTTTTTTCTTTTAGGGGTGCTACGTTTGTTTTCCATACTATGAATAGAAGTTACATTCCTTGTTGTTACCAAATGATGTAACGAGTGTCGAAGTGAGATATGCAGTCCAGTGGGCAACATGCTTTATTTTCCATAGTCAACCATCTTTATATTTCTGAATATTGTGATGGCAACTCAACTCATTTCATTTAAATTCTTAATTCAGCTTGCCATGTCCAAGATGCAAGACATATAAGTCTTCTACCTTTCATTGGAATTAAAGACATATGAAACTATATTTATGCCGCCATACAAGGAAGATTATAAACTTAAGGATGAAGGAAGAAAATAAAGAAAAGAAAAAAGAGAAAATAAGACTTACCGGAGCCATACCATTAACACTGTACCCTGAATTAACAAAACCCTGAAACACAAAAATTGAGAACAATGACTGATAAATAAATAACATGATCTCAATATTGAAACAACAAACTAGCACATATTGATACAAATATTAAGCTTTTTTTCACCATACCTTGACCAATAAGTAAAAACTTACATCATGAATGAAATTGTTTAAATATGGTAGGAGATAAGGTTCATGTGAAGTTCTGGGGTTGAAGTAGTACCTTCTCATTTTTTACCCTTTGTCAATATTGCAAGTCAGCCTTAAGAAGAGAACAGTCATTTGGATGGGATAATAACCTGTAGATCCTTGTGCAAAAGATTCCTTGAAAAAGCTTGAAATTGAAAAGGCAGTTTTACCCTCATTGCTATTCCTACTTTCATAGCCCTATCAATGGAAAAATGGTGGTTAAACTCCAAAGGACACTATCCTGACAAAATTTCCCTCATTGCATACCCATTAGTCCAATCAAGAACAGATAAATGACAAGAAACTTCAATTTAATTTAATAAATAATAATCTAATAAATATAATAATGTGTATTCGCTATACTTACATAATCATGAAATGCTTTTGCTTCACTTGAATGATCACATGTATCACGTCTTTCTGGTGCTGCACAATATAAATCCCAAAACACGCTAAAAATAGGAAAACAGAGAATATTGTAAACTGTTATCTTCTGGATAAAGACTTGCCAATTTTTCTGTATTGGTTAGTCATGTTACAACATATATAGAGCCTTGGATAGATACATCTTGATACAAATCTCAAATCAACAGCTTATATCAGTCACTATATCTGAACCCCAAAGTTCCAACCTACCTTCAACTTCAACATCAATTTCTTATATAGCAGAATCAATGTAAAATTATTTAATTAGACTTACCACCACCAAGAATGTAAAAATCCAGGAGGTTCTCCTAATGTGATATTTTTCTCCCATCGTATCTACAATTAAATGTAAAATAGTAATTAAGTGAATCTAAATAAAAAGCTGTAATATTGTATGATACGATTCCTGAAGGAAGGATAACAGTTTAGGGAAATTTTATCCGAAAATATACAAGAATTAATGTTAGTTTGATCATAATAATTGAACATGCCAACTTGAAGACAAGAACTTGAATGACCTCAGTATTTAAGAAGCAGAATTTCTGTTACCCAGAAAAATTAATTTGTAATCCAGAATATTAACTCTTAACATATTGCCTGCAAAATTTTTGCAGCTCTTGAAATTATGCAGCAATGTGAACCTGAAGGGCAGAAACTAAATTTTCTGTGAGAATGGTTACTATAATTTGTGATCAATACTTCTAACTATATCGAACTTCACAGAGAAGGGGTATGTAATATCTATACTCTTTGTCACAAGAATCAATATTATGGGTATAATCTCCAGTGATAAACAAGACCCAGCACTGCTGTAGTCTTATTTAGAAGACTGAATTTGATTGAGAGGAAGATCTTAGCACTAACTGAAAGTCATTCCAGAAACAATGCATGTCAAAGTTAAAATAACGAAGGTGTAAAGATTTTATAAAATAATACTTGTATATGTATAAGTGATGCAATTAAAAGCTAATCATAAGATTTTAAGAAAACTACAGCCTTTTTCACTTTTCAGAATTCAATGATACCAGTAAAAACTATAGCTTGTGGAAAACAATACTAAACTGTGACATATCTGAACCAATCTTATTCCGACTACTGCCACTTGTTTACTGGTAAATAAATATTTGACAAGGGCATGCAAATCCTTATATGGAAAGCTTTATCTTAAGATGGACAACCCTCATATTGGCATTCATTTAGCTAATAAGCTGATATGTTTAGTTTCAGACAATTTTGATATGACTTGGACTATAAGACTTTATATTTTATTTTGAAATTTATATGTAGACAAGAATTTTAGACTTATTTCAAAAGACATCAAGGAGCGCGTTTGATACGATTCAGACGAAGTTTGAAAACTGACCACAGATCACAAATAGGTCTTTTTCAGGACCATAAACAATCTAGGCTTATAATCTGAGTTTTATCTTTGGTCTTAGTTCTCTTGTATTCAATAGAAATTTTCCCCACAAGAGAAAGTGATAATCAGTCCGAAAATTTACTCTTGTCCGTATCATTTATGATTTTATCTAAAAATAATTTAGGAGGAACATGGCACCCAATTTCCATTCTAAGAATACGTCAGAGATAAGAAGTATTCAGTGCTTGGAGGACAAAAATTATGTAGATTGTCATGCACATGTAACAGAAGTCTTGTCAAGCTTTCCTTGCAGCACTGATAATTCAATTCAGAATGAACATGAATAATCAAGCTAGCTATATCATGGCCTATGGTACTATTTGACAATAAAAAGTTAACAAATGAAACTGGCATTGACCACTTGCAGGAAAAATATGTGTTCACAATACTCCTTGGCACACTCCTTTTTCCTCCTCTCGTTGAAAGATAATGATTCACACTAAAAATTAATTCACTGAAGTCCAGACAGAAAGGCAGGGTTCACACAACGGTCAAACATCACCAACCAGACAGGCACAATACAATAACAATGGGAATAATTCCAGATGATGTCCATGGGCATTAACTTACTTCTGAGAGAAATGTCTGTGCTGATTTCTGTGCCCCTACGTGTAATAAATATTCATAAACATATAAAGCTAATCTGAAATTAGAAAAAAATAACAAAAGATTAAAAGCGGAAAAGGATTCATGGGCGCCGCCATCTTGGATTTGAGAAGGCAACGTGGGTAAATAAAAAAGATTTCTACGATAGTAAATCACTAAACTTGTATCATAATATGTTTTAAATTAATCACAGCACACTGTGTTCTATTGTGAATTCATCATTCCTTCCAAATAGATGACAACATTTCCATTAACTGAGACAAAATGTAAACAAGACGAGTACAAATGGAAACCGGAACAGCCATTAGGAATGAGGCATCCCTCACGCGCAGGTGGAAATACTCCGCTTCAGAGACAAAGGATCGTCAATATCCAAATTAAACATAAAATATATATCCTAGCTATAATGGCTTCACATATAAATCCTTAATCTCGTGGAATTTACTCACTTTTCCCTGGCTTGAGCATCTGAAGGTACACTAGAACCTTTTCCTTTGGCATACATGCTGAGCGATACACTCGCAGGCACCTGTCAAGACATCAGGGACGACACTGACCCCGTTGCCTTGCCAACATCAAGTAGACCTGTCAAATAGCTAGTCTCGATTGGTCGGTTAATTATAGAAATCGAGGGGTAACTTGAAACTGACTACCGTTAACATCATGCGGTACGGCGACAAAGTCGTTTTGGCTTCAAGCCAATAGATCTAGTTAGGTATTAAAAAAAGCAAAACAAAAAACATTCAAGTTTTAAGGCAGACACTTTCATCCTTTTGTTTTACAAACAATTTTCAATCATATATTATAATAAATCTATATATAATCCAACGTATAAATTAATACACATGCATTTAGGCCTTAGATTGATTAAGAAATAATGGAACATTCCTTATTGTAGCCTAGATTTGTTCGGGTTTGTTCAATTTTATTGCCATTGTATTTGAAAATACGAGTGAAGAGTTGTGAGACCTAATTATCATGAACAAGGATGCGGATGATTTCACAGAATATCAATAAAATCACAACACAGAAATAAATGTGGGCAGAAAACCACAAATTTATCATGTATATTATTATAAGCGTAATAGACTATTGCGTAGAAAAAATATTCAAAAGATACAAATTTAGTCCCGAACATTACTGCACTTCATATACAAAATACAGGGTACGTTACATAGGTCTTTATGTTTCAGAACAAAGGTCGGGGAGGAAATATCTTAGACAAAACGTTATGCATGGGCCGCAGAAAAACACTTAGCATTATAG